CCGGAGTACCGTTGTTCCGAAATTGAAGCAAACTCGCCCATCGGCCGGCTAAATAACCGAATCGGTGAGAAATCGACGAAAAATGGGGCAGGCCCTGGGAACGCGGAACGTTTGAATGCGCGCGGCAAAGCGGCAATTGCGCGACACAATGCGTCGTACCTGTGTACCATAAACCGCGAGCAACGGCACGCGTGCCGGGCGATAAAGTTACCTTATGGGAAAGCCAAGTGGCAGGACACTAAACGTCGCCGGGTCGAGGGGATCAATTTTTCAGGCCGACACCGGTCGCGCTATCGCGACCGCCCCATCAAATATTGTTTCCGTCCAACAATGCGACCGACGGCTGTGCAGGATCCCACCGTTGCATTGTCGCGATTGGCGAGTAGTTTTTGACTTCGTCGCTCGCGGCGGTTACGCGGCCACCTTATCGAACCGTGTTTCCGACGGGTACTGCGCCAACGGTTAGATAGATCCTGTCTTCTTCGCGTAATGTCGGCATCCGCGGTACACGTTCATGCATCGATGCACCGAGATACCACCCCGAGCGATGAATAGGTCGGTACGTAGCGGCCGCCCTCGTCGGCGCCCATAAATCATGCATTTACCTTAAGAACCCCGTTGGAAGCAGCACGGACACGGTGGCCTCGCTTAACTTAGTACTCGGGGTATCTAAGATCCAAGAAAGGCCATTGTAACTTCGGCCTTCCGTCCTCCCAGAATTGGGAAGGGCTGCGGTAACGAGAGCCTCGATGGTCATCCATGAAAATCCTAACTCGATCGAGAGATTCTCAAGTGACGCACGCTACGGTCGCGTCGAGTCTCGCAAGGAGAGGATCGGGCGCGATCGTCTAAAATTTTTGCGATACCGTTATTTTATTGTTCTCAACGTATAAAACTATTTGCCATAACCCGGGTAGTTACGGGATGTTTAGCGAATATTTAAACGATTACTTTTTAAAAAACAACCACATTCGGCCCTCTCCTTGTCAGATTTTTGTCTTCTCGCCGTTCTCCATCGTGCCCGGTACTGTTGCCCATTTCCCATCCATGTTGGGAAACAAAGTAACTACTTCGGGGCATTAATACCCCGCCGAGCGTCTTCGAGCTCGACTGCGCTCGAAAAACTTTGACGCTTCATCCCTGGAACGGCGACTTTTAATTTTCGCAGCTTCACGGCGGCGCGAAACTTCGCCATTGCCAATTCCGACCGTTCCTACGGTGGCGAGACTTTCTCCTCTCGAAACTCTGCCGGAGGAGTTTTCTCGCATTCGCGGAAAAGACCGCGAATACCTTCGAGCGGAGCACTTTGGAGATCGGAAGGGCGTTACGCCGCCGCACCGCGTTCGGACGAGATTCGCCATAATGCTTCCGGGGCATACGCGGCGGATACGGTCCGCTAATTCTTCGGGGAGTTAATTAGAAACCCCTGGTAGTTGGTTTAACGATAACGGGAAGCGGGAGCGTTAAACGAAACGCCAAAGTTCGCTTTTCCTTTGTGGCGGTTGTTAATTTGGCCTATCGCGGAAAGTGCACACGATAAATCCGTGCGCCCACGTCGGAGCCCTGGGAAAGCCTGGCAATTTATTAAAGCGACCTATCGAAAGCAGCAATTACGTATGTACAAGTCGAAGGGGTTCCCAGGGGCCGATCAATTCGCCGAGTGATCAGTCAGGCGTCAGGTTCGTCAAACACGGCGAAACGTCAGCCGCCCTCGAAATCGATACCACGAAGGAGTCCGGAGTGATACTAACGAAACCCGCAAATGTTTGCTCGGCCGGCAACGCGTCTCCCTCTGGGCAAACGGAGGAGTCGTTAAATACACCCGGAATAAGCGTAATACGTCCAGGAGGTCGAGCTCGCGGGAAACCTCGGTAAACGGAGAATGGCCGAAAACGGCGAGCTGGGATGAACGGTCAACGGGCTAACTCGTAATTGGGCGGAAGTTCCTTCGAGAGCTGGCACGACGCGTCGATTCGCATTCGATTCGCGCCGGACACGGCTGCGAATGGTCATTGTATTATATGGCTCGATTTGGCACGACGCTCCTCGGAATCCGGGATGCCGGGTCCTCGTCTCCGTGTTTCCTCTCGGTCTCCTCCATTCTGGCAGCTCCTTCGGTCGGCAACGTCATTACGCCGCCCTCGGCGCGAGTTAATCGATGGTAAAGGCGGCCCTCCCACTATTTTCTCCGAATTTAAATGAGAAATGCAAACCGAATATACCGGAAAGGACGCGGAAGGAAGATGGCCAGAACCGGCGGCTTGACATTCATGGTCCGTTTTGTATGGTTATTGCGAGACTTGGCACACTTTCGGTTTCAGCCTCTGAAAGAGCATTGCGGTATATGTCATCCATGGGCGAAGTGCCTGCCAGCGGAATTGCCATTGTTTTTCCGACCAGACGACTAACTTCCGGGTACTTGGGACCGAAGCGTGTCATTCGTATTTGGTGCGAAACTCTCCCGAGATTCTTAATCGGCGAAACGGGGGTCCTTTATCGAGGAGCCCCTCGCGGGGCCGCGCTTGCCGTGCCGTGCATCGCGGTAATTAATGCACGGCTAGCCGTGCCACTTTTGTCGGGGACAACAAAATCGAAATTATCGGCCCCGAGTGGTCGTTACCGGATAAAGTCTGCCTTCGCGTGTGGGCGTTAATTAATTAAGCCGCCATCGCGGCTAACCCGGGAATCGCGAATTGGATCCGTTCCCTTAAACGGATGCGCTTTGATTTCGGGGTGAGCGCTCGAAGCATACGGCGTTATCGCGATTGGCGATACGCGCCGTTAAACCCTCCCCCGATAGGTCCGGAACAATGGGGACCTCCGTTAATCTTTCCGACACCGCTGCACTCACGCCAACGATTTTCCCTAACCCAGGAAAACCTGCAAAAGTTGGGATTATCGCCTAATCGAGCTCTCGTCGCCTCGCGTGCGGAAAATATCGGGTCGAAATTGACCCTACAAAGAGGTCCGCGACCCTCTTCCCCGTAACGCGGATAAACTGCATCGCATGTCCAATTTAAACACCGACGCGTTAAAAACCAACCCGGCTCCACCCTGACCGGCCTGGCATATCTAATCGCTCGTTTACTTTCTGTTCCAGGTAAGTCCAGTCTTCCGTACCTCGCATCTACCCCGAGTATCGTAAGTTTTCGGATGCATTATCCGTAGAGCCACTTTCTACCTTATCGACGAGTGGAAGAACGCTTGCATCGCGCTGTCAAAAGGTCGGTCGGTAACGTACCCACCGTTGGGTTCCCACGTTTTCCTCGACCGATGGTACAACTCGGAAGACACTTTTACCGAGCATGGATACCTTTCGTCGATAATTTTTCAATGGCCGTCGAAAACGTGTACTTACCTGGGGTTATTACCTTACCTTGCGTCGATAGGTCTCGTCAAGGTACGGTAGAGGTAAACCATGGCCGGGGGGACGTTTCCGGATTCTACCCCGTGAATTCGTAATTCCTCTTTCGGAGCGAATCGATGATCCCAGGGGCCAAGGAATTCGGTGTACTTTAGTCGAGGGCAATTTCGGGCAATCGATGATCTTTGAGCACGAGCGGCCGCGCTCACGGGCAAGCCGTGACCTGATTTCCGCAAGCTCAGGCTCCGCGTCACGTGAAAGGAGCTTTGCTGACGTAATCCCACCACCACACGGGCCGAGCCTGGGCCAATGGGGGAGAAGAGTGGCACATCGGGGGTGCGCACACGTTCGCGGCCTCCCTCGTGTTTTAATACCGCTCCCGAGCGGCCGATTTGCATTCCGGACGTACGGAGCCGCCTTCCTCGTCGGGTCAATATGTCGATGACGGGTCGTAGCGAGTCCCCGATAAGGAAGAAAAATCCACGGACACCGAAATCGCATGGGAGAAAGAGAGAGGGAAACCGACCGGACCACGATTTTCGGCGTGGCAAAGTTTCGCAACGCCATGGGAACGGTCGTGTAATAATGGCCGAGAAAATGGCGACTCGACTTTCGGCTGAAATTCTTCCCGGTTACGTAAAGGGGCGAGGTGCTCCGCGAATTTCTCTCGGTCGTTGTTACGCCGGCACACGAATTCGGTGCCACCGAATTTTTTTGACAACCGAGGAGACGCGATTAACGATCATCCACCGTGGAATTACCTGAGCGGATATAGGATACTCGGGATAATCTCGAGTTCGACAACGAGGTTATCGAGTCGGGGGCGTTATCGCCTGGGCGAGTGTCCCAACTTTCGCGACCAATTCATCAATTAATTTCGGCCGAGTACTCTTCCCGGTCTTATCTCGAGAGACGGTATTCGCGGGTAATTACCGAAACTCGGAACGAGGCACCCGGACTTTGCGGAGCTTATTTCCGGGGGAAGGAGAGATCGTTTTAAAAATTTGCCCGGGCGCCCCGAGCGGGCCAGAGGAGAGGAGATGCGCGAAAAGTGTTTATCGCCGCCTGTACTCGTATTTTTGAAATTGGATCGGGTGGATGGGCGCGAGAGAGCTCGATCTCGAAGACCTTGGCCCGGTGTCAAGGAAGCCGAAATTGCTAGGACGAAGTGGTATCTACTTCCGCGTCGTATATCAGGCCCGAGTCGCTTGCTCGGTTTTTGGGAATCCATTATGACACCCCTTAACCCATTTAAAACTCGGAACGATCCCGCTGCGTAACTTAGATAAGGCCGCCCCGTAACGAGGATCCGCCTCGAGCCGTCAACGTCCCATGGGTTGACGTTCAAAGATACCGAGAGCAAACATCGTTCAAGGGAAGAAGGATTATCGGATAAAAGAAGTCGGACAACGAATGGACGCGCTATCACGTGTATTGTATAAAAACGTACGATTAAAAATACACGATCGACTCCTCCGAGGATGCAAGGAGTCATCCTCGAGCGTTACTCCCTCGTCCAGGGAGTGGAGGCTCGCTCGCCAGGATGCATCGGGAAAAATTCAAGGGTTCATCCAGCGCGTCAAGGTCCAGCCTCGAAGGTCGCCGATCGGAGTGCTCCCCATCAGGTACCGGAGGGTGCGCGAGGTGTCCCGGAGGGCTCACCACTTCTTGACGGGGGTGGGGTAGGAGTATCCTCCGGAGTAGCCGGAGAAACCGGAGTATCCCGACTTGAGACCCGGGCCGAAGCCGGTGGAGTAGCCGGAAGCGTAGCCGATGCCCAAGTCGTGGCCGAAGGAGCTGCCGTATCCGATCGAGGGCGCCAGGTCGAAGTCGTGTCCGAAGGTGGCACCGGCATAGGCGACGGGCTCAACGCCGGCGACGATGGGCGCCGGGTGGGCGACGATGGGCGCCGAGTGGGCGATGACGGGCGCAGAGTGGGCGAGGACGGGCGCTGCATGGGCGACCGGGACGGCGACCGGCACGGGCTCCGCTACGGGGACCGGGACCGGCTGGGGAACTCGAACCTCGACGGGGTGAGGCACCGGCACGGGGTAAGGGCGGTCCACCTTGACGGGCACGTGGCGGGTCACCTCGACGGGGACGGGATGCGGCACGGGCACCGGGTACGGCCTGTCGACCTTGACTGGCACCGGCTGCGGCACCGGTACGGCGCGGGTCACCTCGACGGGCACTGGGTGCGGAACGGCGACCGGCACCTGGACCTCTCGGTGGACCGTCACGCCGGTGATGCGCTCCGCCTTGGCGCCGGCCAGCCCGTAGCCCAGAACACCGTCGTACCCACCGCTGTATCCCGTTGCCAATCCGTATCCGTATCCGTTGCCGTATCCGTTGCCATATCCGTTGCCGTATCCGTTGCCGTATCCGTTGCCGTATCCGTTGCCGTATCCGTATCCGTTGCCGTATCCGTATCCGTTGCCATATCCGTTGCCATATCCGTTGCCATATCCGTTGCCGTATCCGTAGCCATTGCCGAATCCGCTAGAGTATCCGCCGGCGTACCCGAGGCCCGACCCCAAGCCAAGGCCGAGACCCGAGTCGAACGACTTTAGACCGAGACCGGAAGAGTACCCGCCAGAGTACGCGCCGGAGAGCAGCGTCCCGCGCTTGTCCACCTTCTTCTCCGCAGGCTTAGACCCCTGCTCGGAGGCGAAAGCGCTTACGGCCAAAAGGCAAACCTGAAATTAAACCAGAGCTCGGGTATTTGGGTCGACTGCGGGATAGATTATCCATTAAGTCCCTAGAGAAGGTGAATCGAATCGAAATCGCGGGTTTGGAAGCGGAAGACTGGCTATGCGTCGACGGAGGAGATCGAAAAGCTCGATCGGGCGATCGCGTCTTGAGACGCTTCGAGTCCTGGGTACTCACCAAGAAGGTCCTCATGATTCTCTTCGGGAGCGGCGAGTCGAGTGTGCCATCCTTTGGCCCACCCGGCGTTTTTATACGGAATCCCGAGCGACATTACTTTCACTGCAAGGCCGGTACACGCCCTGTTAGATCGCTTCTGCGACTCTCCATCCCGGTCCTTCCGATTCGTGGACTGACGTAACCGTTCGCCACCGAGGCAAGAAAGGCGACCGGATCATCCGCTCTCCGCCGACGAGGGCTGCTGCGATCGGGGCCCCTTGGCCAAAAACTCTCGATTAAGTCACTCGCATCCGATCCAATTTTTTACTCCCCGTGTGCGTAACGAGCGCAAAAAGAGCGAAGCCGTGGAGAGTCGCAAATGAATTTTGAGTAATCGCCTAAAATCCGCCCGGCTCGAATCAGCGCTTTGTCGGCGCGCGTTAGATTTTTGTGCTTTTATCCGGAGAAAAAAAAATTCATGGAACCAAAAAAATATTTCATTGTCAAATATTTCTTTGGTACTGGTCGAAGAAATATTTCTTTGGTTTAATATGTTTTTTTCTAAGTGTATGCAATGCTACGAGCGGCTTTGGACGAATCGATTGATTTCGATCCTTGTGATTTTTTTTTACTTTTTTGATTACTCGAGAACGCGAATACCAGTTTACTGCGAGGATAGCATCGGTTTCGAGGCAACGATTCGAGGCTACTTAATACGAGTTGCGTAAAAAATTGCAGATAAGGAGATGCGTTGTCCTTTCCAGAATCGTCGGGACCGAATCGATCACTACGATAATCGACGCTTTCTAGGATTCCCCGCGCGATCGACAACGATCCCGAAACCTGTTTAAATTGAATTCGACGCGTTGGCGTAATTTCGATTCCGAATAATTCCGAAATGGTGACCGCGCAGGTGCGAAGCGATCGTAGCTCACGTAATTTCGCCGCTTCCGTATCGGCGGCGAAATGGCCGGTGACGATAAGAATTACGGAATTGAGAATTCCGCGTTCCTTGGAATTTTCATCGCGTCGAAAGGCCCATTGCCCGGGGTAGTAAAAACGTCGGAGGACTCGGGCGTTCCTTCTCTCTCGATGTCGCCGAGATCGATGTGCGGAGTCGACGTAAGAACGTCCCGACTAATGAAGCGGCCTTGCGCGAGCCCGTTTAATTAAATTTTCGCATAAACATTTTTACGTACGATCGCGCCATTATGGGGTATAATAATAAATCCATACAGGTGATTGCAATTTCCCTCGGGTGAGTTCCCATATCCGAGATAGGAATTTCGAATTCGCGAGATACCCGCTAGAGCAGATTCCACGGTGGATGAAAAGAAGAGAGGGAGAGAGCATTCGTAACGAAATCTTTTTACGCTAATTTAATTTTGAGACGATACGCGAGGATGGCGGAGACCGGTCGAGCTCTTCGACCTTCCGCGCAAATCTTCCTTCGAGGCTCGACCCAGTTAACTCAAAAGTTCTTAAAACCGGGAATTCTTTTTCCCCGACATGGTTAATCCCTCGTAGTAAGTACCCATTCTGGTTCCCGTATATCTCGTTCGATTCGTCAGGGCGAAGGTATCGATCCCTCTCGCACTTACGGAATTGGTCGGAGCATCGTTTCCCTCGGTATCGACCCTGCACCGGGCCGTATGCCCACGTACCATCTGCACGGGGTAAAAATCCAATCTTCTACCTTCTCGATTCAACCGTCCACGGAAGAAATAATTTTCCCTGGATACTTCGTTCCGCCTCCCGGCCGATCGGATTCCCCCCGAGAATTCCGGTTCCTGGACGAATAGGTCCCCGTTCATTGGCGCTGGAAAAAGGGAAAAGCGAGGTCGAGGTCGGCCCTCGTCGAGGCTTCGAAGCCGCGAAGTCGCAGAAAAATATCGTCGAGTGCGTCCCTGTCGAGGTGCAGGAAGCCGAGCAGGGCACTTTTACTCTCGCGGAAGGTCCATGAATTAACATCTCCCTGGGAGCTGTGTGCGAGCGGTCTCTCGGTTCCGGTGTCGGACTCGCCTCTGGATTAACCTCGTTACATCGGTGCGAGGTCGTGTGCGAGATCGTCGTTGCGTGGTCGAGGCGCGCGATTAACGAACGACGTCTAGGTTAAAAGTAAGAGCCACGAAACGGGCGTTACCTAACCGGCAGTGAGCGATCGGCCAGGGGACGCCCGTTATTATTGCACGTCCGATGACGTGCTCGCGTATGCGCCGATTCGGCGATAATTTGCACTCCGCGTGACGGGCGAATTTACCAAAATTATTTCGCCCGGCGGCCCTTTAATGCACTCGATAGAATTGAAATACGTGCCCGGCGTGACGAGTACCCGCCACGGTAACTCGGTGTCGTGGAAAGTTTTCATCGGTGCATCGCCGGCGATAACACCCGATCGAGGATAATTTAACCCCGGAGTCGTTAACGTCGGTTATACAACCTTTTATCGCGTTAGACGATGAATATTCCTCAGTTCTTATTTTTAGAAGGAGGAAGTCTATCGCGGCTCGTGGAACGAAAGCGTCGGCGAGCAAGGAAAATCCGTTGATCGATGCATGGACCCAATAAACGCAAAATACCGAAATTCAGGGTTTGTACCCGTAAAGGGTGGTAGGTGTAAAAATGAAAAATCCATTGCGGATTATATTCGGTTTGCGTACTTGCATGCTCTTGAATCGTCAATCGACGCAAGATACGCGAGGACGAGTACGAGAGCGAGTCGGTAAATCACCGTCCGCGAGTTTCCGGCAATTTGGTAGCGAGTGACCCAGAGTCGGTGAATTCGGATCAGTGACCGGAAGTAATCGAGCCGACCACGCAGTCGCACCTGCGATTCGTCCGGCCTCGAAGAGTTCTCGCCCATTAAAGCTCGTTTCCCCCGATGGATGCGCTCGTTTCCGTCGACCGGGCCTGTGGAAGAAACGGAGAGCCATTATCGTTCTCCAGCCGAGGGTCAAAGTAAAATTCCATCTCCGGGATTTCTTTGGCCCTCTCGCCGGATGGCGCCGCATTAAACTCGCAATCGATAGAGGAAGCGGTATTTTCAATCGCATCGGCTCGGGGCGGATCGCGCGGTAACGAGAATCAACCGAATTACTATTCCCTTTCCAGGTTCCGCAAAGCCTGGCCCGAGCGACGATACTCTCCGATCTCGGTCCGGCATGACCCAGTTTGGCTCGAAAAATGTAGATTCGAAAATCCCTCCGCGTACTCCAACAATGCGATTCCGCAGTTCCATCGACCCTCCCGGAATTCCGATCGTGGATGCCAATCGAGTAATCGATAACGGGGCGAACGAAAGCGGCGAATCCACGATCGATCGTCGAATTACGAATCGCGATTTTTTGCTTCCGCCCGTAAAAATCATTTCATGGTAAAGGACGACGAGAATCTTTTATACGGTTTCTTAGGCGGGGGCGAACGTTGGCGGGCGAAATACTCGTTTTCGCGACGTCTCGACGGGTGCCGTCCCGAAAACGACAGCGAAGAGTATCGACGATCGAGACGGACACTCGTTTCTCCGAAAAAGCGAGCGACCTTTCGACGACCCAGTCCGGATTTAAATTAGTCGAGATTTACAAGGAGACCGAATTCCGGCCGGTCTTTGCATACGCGCACTCACACGTTATGCGAGAACCGCACGCACTCCGCGTTACGTAAGATGGCCCGGGATAAAACACGCATTTATATACATATATGCTTGCGAATGCTGGCCCAGCAGCCGTAACTTGCCCGTTACATTTTCGCCGAGTTCGGAAGATTTCGCTTCCTCCTGCGATATTTTATTTTCTCGCCGTCCCATTAAGCGTCGACGACGGACGATCAACGACCGGGTCCGAAATCGAAACCGTTGATATCGACGACGATAGATCGCGAACCCGTCGCGGAATAGTCGTTATCGCTTAATGTCGATCATAAAATTTGATCAGGCTATATCCCCGTATTCTATCTCCATTTGAATCCCTCTATTCTTGCAAGCTAACCGGATAATTGCAGCCTATTACCATTTCGTCTCATCGGGAGAGATCCTGGTGGGCGATTTCGAAACTCAAAAATAAAAGAACCGCCTCGGAGAGGATTTATCTATTCGTCCTTCCTCGCCGGCAGGACGACGGTCGATCCTGTCCCGTCGAACATGGTTTCCTTCGTGTTTATTCCCAGATTTTTTCGACGTCTATTAATGGCAGACGGACGAGCTAGACCTGTTCCTTCCGCCAGGAATAGCACTTCGAGCTGGAAACAATTGTCCCCCGTTCGTCGAGTCTGCAGAAATTCGAAAAACCCGATTCAAAACCGCGAAGAAAAATGTAGTCGAAACGAATATGAGGCGGATGGTTATTTTCCCAAGTTCGATTCGATTAATGGGCAGGGACGTGCGGAAATTACGAGAAATCCTCCCGATGAGGTTGCCTCGTATTTCCGACATCCGAGGAGGAAGAAGGGCCGCTTTTCAACGACCCGGAAACTCGGCTCTTGCAAAACAAACTAACGAGAATTTCCGCTTTTTGCCCGGGTGCAAACGTTACCCAGTTTCGCGAGGAGTCCTCCTCCGCCGACGTCAACCGAGCTTTCGGCGTCGCTTGCAGCCGAAACCCTCTCGCGAGACGTTCTTATAAATGCAAACCATTTTTCCGCGACGGAACAGCGCCGTCGAGTTTCACTTTTTGGATTTCCTCGAGTCACCGCGAGGGTCGCGACCTGGAGCTCCGTTCCGCGTCGACGATAATTCTTCCTACGCCTTGCAGGGCGACGAAAAAGCTCGGCGAGCTTCGACTAAGGTCCGGCAAGATCGAATCGAACTCGCCGAGTGGTTTCGGCCCTGGGTCCATAA